ACACATAAGAATAAAACAATTCCTTGGCTCTCGCCCTGACTTTGACACGGTTCCATTTGTGTAGGGATTTTCCTACGTAGATTTACATTAATGATGTCCACTTTGCACGCGCCCAAAGAAAATCCTGAACTGGGTTAACCGTTAACTCTGTATTTGGGTTAATTTCATATAATTTTTCATGATTTCGGGCATGGTGGTTCTGGCAAGATGAATGGATCAGGAAACGAAACACAAATGGCGCCATTATGATGTTAGCAACGGATATACCAAAGAGCCCAAAGGCACTCAGTTCTGCATAGACGTACGTGAAGTTGAGGGGAAGGGGAATGGGGACTGGCATAAGGAAACTAGATGAAATTTCTTACTTGCAGAAGGGGGAACCATTCAATTCAAATATTCAGATGATTCAGAACTCTTTCTCCACAATGTCCTGGAGGTAATCGATTCGTTTTGGTGCCACAATTTGTGTGCTTTGTCCTAAAAATCATTCTTTGCAAACTCTGCAGTCAGAGGCTTAGTTGACGATGTTTTTTTCTTCTTTTGATCTTGTTTTTCCCCAAGCTAATGAACCTGAATTTATTGCCAAAGCATTATGGGCATAAGCACAGTTTGCACATACTCATTTTATGGCCAACAACGGCGAATAATGTGGCTGAAAGGCAGCCAAAATCGACTAATGTATGCAAACCTACACACACACACACACACACAGAAGAGACAGAAAGAGAGAGAGAGAGAGAGAGACAGAGACAGAGAGAGAGAGAGAGAGAAGATGCCAGCGAGAGGGCTTGGCGTGCCCAAAAAGTTGGTGGTAACATTCTCTGTTGTTGTCTGCACTTGTGTCCCCCGCACACACACACACACACACACAAAATGGATTTTGTCTGCATTAAAATAAGTTCTAGATAAAGCGAGGAAATTGCTTTTAAATATATATACGTTCGTACGTACGATATTTCGAGAGCACGAGTTGCAGGAGTATATATTTTTGATGGCAATTCGTTTTTGCATAGAAAAATTGAGACATATTCTGAGGCATTATTCAAGTCGTTAAGCTGCATGGAGCATGGAGCTGCTGAAAGTCGTTTGCCACACTGACGTATACGTTATTTTCCACATTGTTTAACGCCAAAATCTGCACAGAACTGCTCGGATCACATATATATACAATATATGTATATGTATAAAGCCACTATAAAGTGTCACAATATATAAAAAGAGTGTAAAGAATTTATTTATGGTATGAAATGAAGTTGCGGATGGGTCCAGTCTACTGCCGTTGCACATTGATGTTGGATGCCAACTGTCTGGAGTGCCAATTGGGATGGCTCCCACATTGGGCCACATAAATCGCGACCAAAGACACAAGACATAAATCTAAATTTGGCTGCCAAAGAAATCATATTTTCCAAGCACGCACAATGAGTTTTTGGTTTTTCCCCGATGTTTCAGTGGACTGAAAAGCGCAGAGGGGCGGTCATATCTTAGTCATAGTTGAACCCACGCCTCGGCGCTCTGGCACTGGCACTCAATAAGATGGCATTTCCAGATTCCCAAATAATAACTGGGTCACTTGGTTAAGTCTGAATTATGAGGATTGGCAGCGGCTTAAAGAGTTTGGCAAACATCATTGAACAAAATGATATGCAATTTTTGTGGCTCCTGGCTACTGGGTACTGCCTGCCTCCTCTCTTATCGTAACCTTGACATCCCACAGGCCTACTTCTTCTTCTTGGCTGGATGGCCAGCCACACGCACACATAAATAATTAAAATGACCTCATAATGTTTCGATTTTTTCCTCTCTTTTTCCGGTTCTTCTGTGTGTGTTTTTTTTTTGTTTCTTTATTTTTATTGTTTTTCTGCGTTCTAGGTGGACTTTTTGGCGCTTTTTCGACTTTTTGCCGCAGTCATTAATGTAATGGTCTGCATTATTTGACTACATTTGGAGGTTTAGGACTCGTATCTGGATGGCCTCTTTGCCGACTTGACCCTTAGCACACCCTTTGCAAATGACACGCAAGACACGACGCTGCATGCCCCTTACACTCCTACATACATATGTAGGAATGTGGCAGAGCAGAGTTTGCTGGCAAATCAAGTGGGTCCATGGCCAGCCAGCTGATCCATCGCCTTGCCATCATCCTTGTCCGTCGAGTATTTTGCCTGTGCTTTTAGCCTTTTATTGCTGGTCACTTATTTGCGCTCGTTCAATGGCGAACTTTTCTTTTCTTTTGTATTTTTTGAGCTGCTCAGCAATTTTCTGCGCCTGGCATTTTCGATGGGCAGTCAGTCATGACGTTGCTCCAGCGTAATCCTCGATTGCCGCTTTGCCTGCCAAATCGTCTGTGCCATCAAATTAAACGACAACTAAATTGGCGCACATTTTGTGCTATTTGGCAGGCTTTTGTCTGCGCTTCAAGGCTTACATAAGCAGACAATGAGCAACAACAAAAAAAACATACAAACAGGCAGCCAGACAGCCAGCCAACCAGCCCAGTGAGGAAAACCAACCAAGAAAGGCAAATAAAATGCCAGCAGCTGACATTGATTGGGGTTATGACACAAGGGGTGGTGTGGGGTGCCTGAAGGCGGCGGAGATCTAATAACCGTAATAATATTAAGTAGCTGATAATTTGACACTAAGCTACAGGGGCATAGTACGTATGCGATAGAAGAAGACAGCAACTGGCACAAACTGGCAGAACGTGGACCTGTGCCTGTGTGGTGAGAGTATCTTGTAAAGGTTGAAGAAACTATTTTCGAGGGATCCTTGCCCTGTCACTTTCCATTTCCAATTTTCCCACACACACACACACACATCGCGCCCCTTGTCGGCTGCAATTTTCCACCGTACTTAATTAGTTGCTGTCACACTTGCTGGCAGAACGAGCAATCCGTAAAACCCACCAAAACCAGCACAGCACTCTGCAGCAGAAGCAGCAGCAGCAGCAGCAGCAGCTTCAGCTCCCTGGGCGCCCATAGAAAACTTTCAAAATAGATTAAATTTGTTCTTGACGAAGGTGCAGGGAGGGGAAATTCACCGCACAGCTTCCAAGCCCCAAAAACCCAAAGAGAAACTGCAGAATGGCAAGAAATGGCTAAATTGAGTGCACACAAAACGAAGGGAAGGAAGCTAAAGAAAGGGATGGGATGGGTTGGGAAGGGGGAGAGCAGCGAGCGATAGTTGCTGCACAAGTGCAGTTTTCCTGTGGCAGCAGCTTTCCTGCTGCTGGTCAAACATAAAAAGCATAACACATGGAGCGGCCCCCAGAAAGAAAGAGCCAATAAGATGATAGTAGTCCCCGGCAACAGGATGAACAGTTTTCTTTCGCATGCCCTGGAGCCGTCCTGGCCTGCTTGGCTTGCTCGTCCTGGTCGCCCAGTTATGACAACACAAAAGGATGAGCCAACACAAAATCCCAAAAAGAATGCAGAGCCAGTGAGAGGCAGTGAGAAGCCCACGGCACAATCCCAAATACCCCTGCTCTATGCTGTGTGGGAAGGCCAAAACTGGAACTGGATGGGCTTTGGGCTATTCAATTGTCCGCTTGATCTCCGGCAAGGAGTTGCCCCCCTCCTTATAAACCTTTTCTTGTTTGCCCCGCTGGCCATTTCATTTCATTCTCTTTGCTGTTGATTTTCCATTTCGTTTCCATCAAGGGGGGGTGGGGGGTGCGGTAGTGTTTAACGTTTCTGGGCATTCAGTTTTTCGGTTTTCGGTTACCTGTGCGGCAATGTAGGTCAGAATATGCTGCATGCCACATTTTTGTGTGTGTTTAACTGTTTCCCAGAAATACTACGCACACGTCACCTCGGACAGGGGGCGTGGATTTTTGTTATGGTAAATTTAAAGTGCAATAACATGCTAGCACACACAAAACAATGCCAAAAGCACACACAGTGCAAAGTGGAATGGGGGAATGCTATACGCGATTCGGATACAGTTTCCTGTAGGCAGGTACCACTGCCATTAAAAATAAAGTGAAAAAACAATTTCACAGGCAGGTCGAGCGGGCAGCAAAAGGAATCGCACCAATTTCATGGCACAGTCAAGCACAATTTATGCAGCAGCCGCTCGGAAACAAAAAAAACACACACACACACACAAATATCCAAGTGAGCAGTGACAGAGTATACGACTATCAGATATCCTCACTGGCAGGACTAAATTGATTTGGCCATAAATCACAAGTAATAACCGATATTTAACTCTTTTATGCATAGATGCCATTTGGAAAGATATATGTAAGTATATAGAGTAAAAATATATTTACTTGCACACTGCGGCTGGGAGATAAAATTCGACAATCATCCAACGCCATTTATCAGGCGGTGCTGCAGCCATAATGCAAAGGGAAAGTTGAATGTTTAATGTTGAATGCCAAATGAAAGCCAAACATTGCAGCGTCATTTCACCTGTGTGCATGAACCATGAACCCCTGTACAATCCGCCCCGCCCGGCCGCCACCGATGTAATTTAGCCAGGAAATTCAATTTAGCGCAACGCGGTTTATCTGATATGAGGAAAAATCGGCTTATTTGTTGTTTCCTTTTGCGCCAGCATCGTTCGTTTCGTTCATTCGGCTAAAAATTTTTGCTAAAACATTCTCAAAACTTTTCAGCGAGATACACCATGACGTATGGGTAATACATATATGCATTCGTGTAGGAGGGGCGAGGCGTATGTCCAATATCCTGACATGTGTTTAACATTTGTTAGTACTACTTGATCGTTGGACAGACGCCATGTACATTGTACATACATAGGTAAATATTTGCAGCTCTTAATCGTGGGACACACCAATGCAAGTACATACATTCAGATGGGCATGTACATACATATGTACATATGTATGTATGTACGTGTAATAGTCGTTGCACTTGAGCTGCAGCTCAGGTAAATTGCCATAATTAAGGTGCCGGTACCCGTCCCCATCCCCATCCCCATCCCCGTAAATGAAATAACATGATGCTGAGCACACTCTGGTCGGAACTTACCTAATTAGTGACAGGATTTCGAGGCAGCACAAAGTAGGTTCTTCTTCTGCTGTAGTTACTGTTGTTGTTGCTGCTGCTGCTGCCCAGACACTGGGGCATGCCGCGTGCGTCGACAAACTGCCACACACACACACACAGACTGACTGACTGACGGACGGCCTTAACCAACGTTCATTTGGCCCTTTGGGCTATTGTTTGTGGGTGGTCCTGTGCTTGTAGTTTTTGTTAGCATTTGTTGTTGTAATTGTTGCTGTTGTTGCTGCTGTTGTTGTTGCTGTTGTTAGCCAACAATCTGGCAACGCCTTTCGCCTCGCTTACAATGTTTTTGTTTTTTGTGTTTTTTTTTTGTTGCGTTGTTGCTTCTTACACAGCTTGTTGCAACTTATGTGCAATTGCCTCGGGCTGCACGGACACGTAGAGAGAGAACGAGAGAGAGCGTGAGTGGCGGGGCAGGGGCTGTAGAGTGAGTGGAGAGGGCGGGGGGCTTAACCAAAAGTTGCAAGGACACGCATCGCCTGACGAACGACACACACAGGACTTTTGCACACGATGAGAGAGCGCGAGAACGAGCGAGAGAGAGAGTGCGCGGCGGCGACGAGACGTACGACACTTTGAAATGTTTTTGCTGGAAATTAACACCCCCGCAACCCCACCAGCTACAAAAAAAAAGCACTGAGCGTTGGGGCATGGTGTGTGTCATGGTGCTGGGGGGACCCCGAACCCCTCGAGTTTTATTTTATTTTATTTTACTTCTTTCTTTTGGCTTTATTTAGCCAACTTTTGACGCTTTGCTTTGCTTTACTTTACTTTACTTCCCCCGCGTTGCCCCTCTGCACATCTTCTGCTCATTTTGCTCCTTTTTGGAATTCTTTGGTTTTATGCTTTTCGCGCTTTGTTGTGTGTTCTTTCAGGTTTATTTCTATATTTGTTATGGTTCTTCGTACTTATTTTTTATGATTGTTTTGTTGGCCCCCGCTCCGTTTGTCGCCGCTCACTTTGAAGTTTTAACTGCCCTGCGATGTATGCTATACCCAAAGTTTCTCCTGGTTTTCTTTACTCTGGCTTTGACTTTGATTCGCACTGACACTGGCACTGGCACTCGCACTGGCACCGGCACTCGCAGTCGCAGTCGATGGTCTTTTGGTGCCACTGCTGGGCCCTAAACTTTTGTATTCTTTTCTTTGGTTTTGGGACCAGACAACTAAGTGATGGGCAGCAAGCTGCTTATGTAAGTGGCAGCAATTTGCCAAACAGTTAGTTGTTGAGTAGCAAACACTGACAGGGAAGAGAAGAGGGTCTGGGCATGGGACTGGGACTGGCTCTGGCTCTGGGTCTGCTCTTCCTCCAGTTGGACACTTATGTAAAGTGATGTAAAGCTCGGGCAGAATAAAAGTCTGCGAGCGTGACAGGTGGACACTTGAAGAAGACTCGAAGAAAGTTTAATGTTAAATGTAAGAAACCCGAACAAGACTGAGTTTAATGGAAATAAAGTTTTGTGTGTGAGTGCAAGGGAAAGTTGGAAAAGAAAAAGTGCGCTCAAAGTTTCATGAATGCAAAATGTAATATACATATTCGTAATCAAATATGTCTCTGATTCTAAGGAAATACTTCGTATTAATATTTCATACATTTCCACCAGGCTGAGCCATGATCCACGACCCCCAACCCAACCCACTCGCCCACGTATAGTCACCTTTCGTTTCCACATTCACATATTCGCAGCAAATTCATTAATAAATCATTTCTTGTACTGCCAGTGCACTGGGCACATTTTTACATGGCTCTCATATGCACTACATCCCACACATAAACATATATACATACACGCGTACGTACGTACATATGTATGTACGAGTATGCGCTAAAAATCGTGTTTGTCTTTTGCCTGAATGAACTATTTTTATTTATTTATGCACCAGATTATTGCCAGACAAAATGCCCGTGAAAAATAAATTAAAAATTAAATAAAACAAAAATAACTTTTTCATATTGCCTGCCCGCGGGTTTTTGCATTCAATTTGCATCTCGCACATCTCCCAGTAATTACCAGAAAATGTTTTGCGGCACTAAACATTATTTTATACGCTCCAACGCGTTGCAATTTTTGGAAATTTATTATCAAGAATGCCATAAGGAACGCCATAAGGTTGCACCCCCGCCTAAGGTTGCCTAAGGTGGTGCAGTGGTCAGGCAATGGGGGAGGCTAATCATTTCTCTGCACTCTTTCCTTATCTATTATCTATTTTGCAAGCAGACAATGTAAAGGAGAAGCCGCTTGAAAAAACTAACAAATTTTCTCTGTGTGCAGAATCTTTTGGTGTGCACGAAATATGTTAAAAATAAACCAAAGCAAAGCAAAAGGAACTGCAACAAAATGCGAAGTACCAGACCAAAGCAAAACGAAATACGAGAGAGACATAGAGACAGAGAAGGAAAAACAAAAGAAATGAATAAAACTGGCATGTGTGCGTCGCGTTGCATATTCAACAAGCCAAAAAAAAAAAAAAAAAAAAAAAAAAACAATAGGAACCCCCAACGAATCTTCACACCGAATTTAATTTATTTGTAAATTGTAACAACGAATTCGTCCGCAGCGTGGCAGATCTACAGCAGTGTTCACAATAATAGTTAGCACAAAATACCTCTTTTCTTATATATTACACCAAAGATTTATTTACATACATATCTATGTGTAGATCCAACTGCTCATAGAATTTATTTTTTAATATTTACTTTACGAATTGATTTTCTAGATTTTGACCGCTACTGTATGAGTACCATAAATTGTAGGGGGACTGTTTTGGGGGACTGTTTGCCATATCATTACTTCGAGGTGGCAGTGGCAGACAAATGCCTGTGCTGTGTGTTTCAATGTTCAATGTCTGTCCTTAACACAGCATTGGAATGCTGGGAATTTTTGCTAGAAACGACAAATTTTTGTCTAGCAGCCAAACACGCCCAGAAATATGCAACACGTCCTGCCTGCCCCCTTCAATGTGACTCCACCCAAGTGCACGCAATGTTAGACCCACACGACTGTGGGTCACATACTGTTATTCTCTTGGCTGTGCCTGTGACTGTGGCTGTGACTGGAACTGTTGGGCTGACTCATAAGGCATTTTGTCTAACGATTGACTGACTGAATGACTGAATGACAGACTGACTAACTGACAGAATGACTAACAAACTAACTAACTAACTAACGTGTGTGACTTTTGCCAGTTCGGTGCCGTTGTGTTCTCTGTTCTCTGTTTTCTGTTTTCTGGCTCGGCTTTTGGCTCTGACTTTGCGTGTAGTTCGTAATTTAAGTAATGTGGGTCGACATGGTGGAAAGCTTGAGCCACTGCGTATCCTTGTTGTTGCTAACGCGATTTACTTTTGAGCAAAACACGCGCCATGGCTCCACCATATCATACTATATATACATTTGTATATACATATGTATGTAGTACGAGTGAAAGTAGCTGCCTCAAGCTTGTGTGGTTCTAGCAGCCTAATTGTCATTGAAGGCGGCCCACCTAAGACATAAATTCAATTTCTTTCGGTTCGATGTGACAAGTCGTGAAGGAAGGAGCCCCTGCCACTGCCGCTGCCACTGTCGCTGCCCCTGCTATCCATATACCACTGTTCAACTGTGCTGTGTGCTGCGCTTCCACCACTGCCATGTGTTCTTGTTGCTATTATTTTTGGATAGCCAACCTTTTGGGGGTACGTTGCCATCGTTCGTGTTGCTTTCTCGCGATGTCGTCGCTGCCTTCTGCTGCTGCTGCTCCTACGCCCCTACCTTTTTTTTTTTTTTATGGTTCTTGTTCTTGTTGTACCTCTGCCTGGTTCTGGTTCTTGTCTTCTCGTGCCGCCGTCTTGTTGCTGCTGTCTCTATGCTGCACTGGCACTGGCACTGCACCTTGACACTAATATTGAGCAAAGGAGAGACAGAAGGAGAGCAAGTGCAACTAAAAATAGTCAGTGAGAGACCGCTAAAGGCAAATTGATTTGGGTTTCGGGTGCAGGTACACGGGTACGGCTACGGATCTCTCACTTCCACCACTTAGCGCGGACACTTGGCGATTTTATTGTCATTTAAAAGTTATAATTGGTAATTGATGCCCGATGGGACTCACTCTCTGACTGACTGATTGATTGACTGCGTGTGATATGATATAGACGTCTACAATTGATTCTTCGGGGATTTATTTTGGTGGAAATGTGGATGGATATTTTGGATTTTGGATTTACTTTATTTGCAAGTATTTTTGTTTTAGTAATTAAATTAAATTTTCTATTTTTCACAATGAATATTCTTGTTTATTCTTGAATGTTTTTATTTTTTTTTGTATGGCTTGAACCTTGCTTGGACACTCGCACAGCTAATTGTTAATAACAGTATTTTTTGAAGCCACTCGATCTTGCATCGCTTATTGTGGCTATTGGTAGGACCCGCCAAACCCATTCCATGGCGCGTACCTCCCCACCCCCGTATGCACAATCCAGCGTACACCAAAAGAGACCAACACCAGAGCTTTACATAACTCACTAGCCGCTCCGCTCACTGCACTCTCACACAGAAGGAGACGAGCCTGAAGTTAGCCTCAGTCGAGAGCCCGCAGCGAAACACACCAAACAAAAAGGCAGGAGAATACGTTAAAAATTCAAAACACAAATGCACATTTAATTCCCGCACACACACACACACACACAATGCCGTTTCCATGCGTTTTTCAATCATTTCTTAGCACTTTGTTGGGGGGGGGGCACACATGGAGCACACGGAGCACTCGAAACTCGAAACTGTGGAACTTGCAACCCGTTTGTCGTATGCATTTTAGATGCCAGGCACTTTTTGTATATTCACTGCTGCTACGTTTCCTTACTCTGCTCCTACGGCGTTTACTATATATTTATGTACCGAGATACTATATAGTAGATGTGGGGATATAGTATGCTTGTAGTCGATATTACTACGCTGGCCTATTGTTTTGGCTGTGTAAGTATTGGGGCTGGTTGGGGCTGGCTGGCTGGCTTGCTGGTGAGTGTTTGAACTATTTCTACTTAGAACGTGAAATTTTGCTCCGATTTCGCTGTGCTGTTGAATTGCAAACCCGACCCGAACTGAGAACGCAAATGACCAAGTTTTCCTTTTCATGCAGTTTGGTTGAGTTGGCACGCATTTTCTTTTCGGACTCCCACTCGTGCCCTGCGCTCGTGACTCGTACTCTGCCTCGGACTCTCGGACCCAAGCAGGATGACGGAACGAAGGCAACACCGAAAAGACTGTGGTGCGCCGCTTGCTTTTCGCTTGCATTTGGTGGTAGCTTTATTCGGAGTGAAAGCTTCCCGTTTGATGCTCTCTCGCCAAAGCTGCGCAGGAAGCTCTTGGGGAAAGCTTCACAGCTGATTGCCGCAAAATGCATGCGGTGTTTGTTTTCCTCCTTTCTCCACCCACTGGCGCCGACCGGAACAGCTGATGGGCCTCTCTCGCCGTGTGGCAAATGACGCAATGCTTTTGCAGGTGCCTCTCTCGCTACAGTGGGCCAGTGTGGCATGAATTGTGGCAAGTAAATTGATGACATCATTAAATGTTATTTGAAATATTAATTTTATTTTTAAATTGCAATTACAATTTGTTGTTGTTCGCCTTTCCCTCCACTTTGGATGTTTTTTTTTTTTTGTTTTTTATGCTAAATTGTATTTGTTTTTATTTATATTTATATATATATATATATTTCACACATTTTGTTGCAAACAATATCAATAATTCTTTTAACCTAATAACAGATGCACTTTTTTCTTGTTTTTTTTTATTATTATTTTTGTTGTTGTTTTTGTTGTTGTTCCTCTTACACTTGTTTTGGGGTTTCTTAGTTTTGTTTTTTGTTTTTGTATTTATTATATTTTCTTGATTTCTTTATGGTTCATCCCTGGCCTGACTCAGACTCAGATTTGCTCGAGCTTAAAATTAAATTACAAAATACAATCATTCCAACTTAGTTACGAAGATACAAATACAAAACAAAGCGCACAATGCATTATCCAACTTAAACCTTAATCACTCGCAGAACTAATTACAATTATTACAATAATATTCTTAAACGCAAAAGGAAACATATGAAGCAGGGGCGGTACAATACAATACACAACATTACACTCTAAATTTACGTTTAATAATTTTTTGTTACTCGTAATAAACTTCTTCCATCTTCCATCTCCTCTCTTCGTTCTGCATTTATTCAATTTGCATTTGAAGTTAAGCGCTTGCTTTCGTGTATAATGTGTGTGTGTCTGTGTGTGTGTGTTAATATATAGAGCGGGGGGGGTGTATATATGTATATACTATACAATATATAGAAATATGTATACGCTGCATATAAAATTATTTAGGCGCAAAAATGTATATTCGCTGCTCATGCACAATGTGAAGAAGCAGTTAAAATGAGTTAGTTCTTTGGGCTTGGTGGTTGATTATGCTTTTTGAAAGAGAGCGCGAAAATCTGGTTGATTCTACTCGTAGTTTAGAGGCTTCCGTTAAGGTAAAAAGGTAGGCGTGGCATAATGCAGCAATGAGTATTAGTGGTTCGTTCTCCATGGTTTTGGTATTACCTTATATAAAGCAATTATCATTATCATTATTAGTATTCATTTTTTTTTTTATCATTTTTCATCTGCGTTGCGTGTGCAGCATTTTCTTTAGTATGCAGCGCAGAGCAGAGCAGAGTTTTTTTTGTTGTTGTTGGGTATTTATTTTCGTTCTTAGTCGTGGTTTTTTCTCTATGATTATCCCCATGTCAAAAATATGATTTTTACACTTTCATATGATACAAAATGAACAATCTTGTTTGGTATCGAAATCATTTCACATTTCATTGCTATTTAAATGCTTTCATGTAAATATATAGATGGATGTACATATGTATATATGTAGGTATGAATGTGTGGATGATGTATATAGATATATTCAAATGTAAATGTGTGTGTGTGTATATATGTATGTAGTAAATGTGTACGCATTTCGTATGTATATGTTGGGTAATGCCAAGGGGGAGGAGGACTTTGTTCTTGTATATATGAAGGTAAATACAGGGATATACATATGTGTATAAAGATGTGTTGTTGTATATGATATATGTATGTATGTATGCATGTATAAATATATGTTTCGGTGAGCTTAATTTTGAATGTATGTTGTTCTGCTTATTCGATTAAATTTAATTTGATGAGCGATCAATTTATACGATGTACTGTACTGTACTTTACTGTACTGCACTGTACTGTAGTTAATGCTAGAAAGTAATTCCATTTCAATATTATTGCATGATTTGTTTTGTTGCAGTTTTTCTTTGTTTTTGTTTTGTTTTTGTTTTTTATCTCAAGTACAATCTATCTGCTTGAAATACGTTTAAATATTATTTTTTTTTTTTTTGTGTATATTTTATGCGATTTTATTTAGTATCTTTAAGCATTTATTAACTCTTTTATAATCTTTCGTGTAGTATCTTTTCTAATCACCTTTTTGTAGTATCGTACCATTTCCATTTCCGTTCATCGCTCTTCCGCCATTCTTACGCTTACGCTCTGCCTTCTCCTTTTTATTTTGATATTGCTGTCATACACAGTTTTCGTACAAGTAAATATCCCTACACACACCCATACCATACTCCTACTCGTCCTTCGAATTCCACTTTACACACACACTGTTCCCAGTGGATCCCACAAATTGCTGAGTTGCCTCTACTTGGTTGGTTAGCTTTAAGTGGATAAATGGACGGTTTTTTTATTTTGTTTTGTTTGGATTTCATTTGCTTTTATGTCAATTTTTGCTTAAGTCTTTTAGTTTCAAATTATCGTATCGTATGCTTTATAGAAAAGAACTCTGATTCCACACAACTAAAACTATAAGCTATGAAAACCACTCAAAAGTAAGGTAGATACATACATATATAGGATAGATTCAATGTGATTGTTTTTGTGGGGTTTGTTGGTTGTTGGTTGGTTGTCATGCGAAACGCTGCCTCTTACACTCTTACACTGAGAGAAAAAACTATCCTAAGTTATTGATAGCATTGCCATTTGTGCATTCCTGGACAGCTTGGATCTTTATCCTTATCTATATCTTGGTCTAGTCCCAGCCCAAAGTGTATTGTGTGTTGTGTGTGTTTCATCCAATACAAAAAATATACAAATTTCAATGGAATTCTCGCTCTCTCTTAGGTATTTTTTTTTTGCATATTCATTGTCGCTGATGCAACTCAGCAATTTGTACAATCCTTGTTGTTGTTGTTCCACACACTACCATATATAGTACTATGTATAGCTATGTATAAATATCATACCAGTTGATTTTTTGGTTTTTACATTTAATTATCGTTTAGAAAGCTTTTTTTTTTCTCTTCATGCCCATGCAAAATATATATATATATGTATATATATTTTCTGGTATTCGTATTTTTTCGTATTTGTTATGTGCCATTTGTGTCCATCACTACGCTGTGCCTATGGTATTGCCTATGTACATTATACACCTTATGGATTATGGATTCTTCACTGATTAAGTCCATTCATCCAGCTACCACACAACACTCTTTTTTGATCGTCATGCATGCATGTCAGAAGTTCTCGAAGGCCTGACGCGTTTTCTTTAGTATTTTTTTGTTTTGTTTTTGTTTTAGGAAAAATAGTTTGCGTTTTTTGTTTGTTTGTTTGTTGTATTCTTCTCATCGATTCACATGTTTTGTTTAGTGGCTAGCAAAATAGTTACATATATCAATATCAATATGGGCTTAGAAAAACAGCAACGGCTAAGTTAATGCAAAAGTTTCATTCGGTTTTCCCCATCCTTTTTGGTTTTTTTTTTTGTTTTTTGGTACATATCTGGTATATTTTATTTAGTAGTCAAAGATCAGTGCATTTTTTGCGTTTTTTTCTTACACTCCATTTACATACAAATTGTCAGCGTACTTTCTTTTCTGTTCTGGTTAGCATTTTTATCCATTGCATAGCTAAATATTACGAGGCCCTATTCTAGGTAAAGAAAATGTCGCTAGATTAACTCCAGTTCGAGATCTAAGCTAGTGCATAATTGTGTATTCATTTCTTTTGTTTGTTTGTTTGTATATTTAGTATTTTTTACACGGTGTATTTTATTTGCAAGCTTTTTAGGCGCGGCGGCAACAATGTCCATCAAAAACGAACGAACATACAATAAAAATTCAAAATTCGCAGAAATAAAAATAAAGAATTAAAAATCAAATTGGTTAAAAGCTAGAGAGCTAGCTGCTAGCAAAAGTTCTGTTAGATCGGTATCGGTATTCGATTGGTGATTGTTGATACTTATAAACTTTATTATGTCTATGTAAATTCCACTATTATTGCTTTGGTGTTGGTATATATATATATTTTTTTTTTTTGGGACTTTTCTTGCAGTTATTTTGAAGATCTCTTGGTGATGAGGGCTTGGTTGGGGAAGGGGGTACTTGGAAAAAAAATACTGTTTGAGTTGCTGGCTGATTCGTTTCACATACGAGTAGTACAACATTTGGGTTTTATCTGTGGTGTCATACGCAGAAGTACGCGTACGCGTACGCGTATATGGAAACAAATATCCTTGAGAAAAATGTAACTAAATCAGAGAAATAATTCTCATGCGATTGCACTACCGGACATCGTTGTCGCCTGACGCTCACTCTGCAGCTCCCGGTTGCGTTCGTGCTCAGCGGTCTCCGAGCTGTTGGATGATTCAATCAGAAATCTGAATTAGTTTTTAAGCGATTCAATTGGCATGCGATTGCGGTTGCTTACTTGGAGCGCACAGCTATGGGACTGCCGGGTATATCCACGGGATTGGCATTATTGTTGTTTGTGGTCGATGCTCTTCGGCCATTGCCTGATTTGTACGAGAATATTGAATCGTTCTCCATATCGTTCTCAATCTGTATAAATGGTTTACGATTAGCAAACGAAAAGGAATCTCTCGCGTAGAACATGGAATGGAATGGAATGGGATGACTTACCACCTGTCGCTTATAGGACAATCGTTCGCTGGACACCGAGCCGCACGATGAGCTCTCGGAAACGGCCTGCGTCACTGAGGTCACTGTGGGCGGACTGCTGGGACCCGGGAAACGTTTTGAGCACACCTGCGACTGGATGTGCTCACAAATGCGACGAAAACGTCGAATGTTACCTGCATGAAACGAGCAATTTTAAATTGTTGTTTCGAGTGCGATGTGTGGTGTGGGCTGGATTGCATTGCTTACCCGATAGCAGCGTAAATGTTAAGGCAAAGAGCATATCTGCTATGTCGCCCTGCTTGCAAATGGCACTAATGTCCACCTAGATTGGGTAACGTAATGCCATTAGCTGGGAAAACTCTGATGGTAGTGGGTCTGGCCGCAGCTCACCTGAAACTTGACATGGCGCTGGAACATCACAGGTCCGTTGCCATTCCGTTTGTACTCCACTCGAAATGATGTGGGCGAAACCACACTATGCGATAGCTCAGCCATCTACAAAGGGGGATTCATTTATGCGTAAAAATAATCTACTTAATATGGAGTTAGAGATGGTCGGCTTACAGATAGAAAGGCGTGTATCAAATGCGCCTTGACGGTGGCAATGGGCTTGCCCTTGACCAGGATGGTGAACGTCTCATCCTTCTCTGTGGTTATCAAGTTACCAAACCAGGAGCGTTTCGTTAGCTCTGGCGATGATTCGGGCGTCAAGTGCACTTCATCCGCAGAAACTACAAGCAGAGATTTAAATACGTAAGATTCGTCTATGGTTCGTCTATGGTCGATAGAGTCCCGAAATTTACCCTGCATTTTTCTGCGATGGAAACGCGGACTGCCGAGGAAACTGTTCTTGATGTTGGTGAGCCGTGTCTTCCACAGTTGACCGCCGGGATTGTTGCAGGGCGAGCCAGGCATCCCGGGACTGCTGTTGTTCAACATGGGTGAGGCATTAGGATTCACAACTATTCGGAAATGGATCAAACAGGCAGGCAGATATGGTAGATATTAGTATTCTGTGATTTTGGGCTGGGCAAAGGGGGCTACGGGGCATGCACACACCACTATTCGACTCTGGATCGTGGAACATACTAATGTTAATGGTCGGACCTGAGTTGGCGCGATGATGCACCGATGGCGAGGCCGCTCCACTGACGGAGTTGCCACCGGGACTGCCTGGCGGATGGCCGCACTCGCTGCGGTCCCTCGCCGATCCGCCGCCCCGCTCCTGGCGCAACGAATCGCGGCGTTCCAGTCGCGGTTCCCTCACCACCAGCACATCGCCTTCGATGCTCTTCTGGGAGCTGTGCGAGGGCGTCCGACTGACCGAGGAATGGTGCCCGGAGCCGGACCGATCGCCGCGATCGCCGTAGGTGGAGTGTCGAGTGCCCGCCGCCGGCGATGAGGGGCGCGATATGGCATTCGCCTGCTGCTGGGCGGAGGTCATGGGTGAGTTGCAACGCGTCGGACTGTGATATGAGGAGCTCCGCACCGACGAGGAGACAGTTGTGGGTGAGCGTCGTTGATGGTTGCGGGTGCTGCTGTACGAACGGAAGCTAAAATGGGGGACAACACACACATAAGTAAGATAGATAGAACTCGGCGACTGGGGGGCGTCTTCTACTCACTTGAAGGCCTGTCGTCGAGGCGTGAGCGGTGAGCCCTCGGAGATCTGTCCATAGCTGGGCACATTGGTGCCGTTGATGCGACAGGTGTCGAGCCGTTTCCGTGGCGGATCCACTGCATCCAGTTCGCTGCGTGACTTTTGCGCAATCTCATCGTCATCCTCCAGGGCAGGACGCCTTCGCTTGCGCTCCAGCAAAAGGAAATAGATGACCTTTTCCGTATTGTGACTGTGTCGGTAAAGGAGCATTAATTGGTTGACTCCCCCCTTTTCATGTTCAGTGTACACACCTCGAACTGAGCAGCTCTTGGATGAGCTTCTCCTTCTCCTTGAAGCAGCCCAGCGAGCAAATGGCATTCAGCACATCCGGATCGACGGCTGTGGCCGTGGGTATAACATGTGTCTGCACCACCTCCATCATTGGCAGCTCCAGCTCCAGTTCACCTTTGCCACCAGCTGTGACCCAGGGATGTCGGTTTATTTCAGCCAGCTGCACATGGAATGAACAACGAAATAAAACCCAAAAACCATAGTGAGAAAAAACGGGAAAAGAGGGTTAACCAAGTCCCAGGGGGGATTAGAATTGGTGACCCAAAAACCAACAATCGTTGCGGCGGGGGTTGGCTTTAAGTGACTCACCCACCGACATATCGACCCACCCAGCCAGCTGTCAGACAGGAGCAGCGGCATTCGGTCGTTAGGGTTCTTGGGTCAGTCATTGTTGCATATGGGGGATATGGCAGATCCATATATATGAGGGGGGAGGGGGTCTGTGAATGACTCACCGTCAGACGCCTATCCGGATTCACTTCAATCATGCCGCGCAACAGACTCTGGCAATCGGGCGGCACAAAGTGTGGTATGTGAAAGACGCCGCGTTTGACTTTCTCCAGCAGTTGGCGCAAATTGTCATCGTCGAAGGGCAACGCACCCACCAGCAGGGCATACAAGATGACACCGCACGACCAGACGTCCGCCTTCCGTCCGTCGTACTTCTCTCCCTGGAATGATAAAATGATAAAAAAAAACACACGCACACCACGCCCAAGCAGAAGAAGGCACATGGGGGACATGAGGAGGTAATGGGAGAGAAATCAGAAATTGAGACATTTTCCTTGAACGTTTTGTGTGTTTTCTTTGATATTTCTCATACGAATGTCTGTCTGTTTGTTTGTTTGTATTTTTGTTTGCTTTCAGTTTGATTATTTTCAAATTCGATTGGAGGACAGGACAGCACAGCCCAGGACAGGGGACCAGGGCCCCCCAATCTTGTGGATGCGTGGCATCCAATCGTTTGGATCGGATCTTTCTACCCTTTTATCGAACTACTTCGAGTCGGTTCCCATAACACCCCCCAAAACTGAATGTTGGGCTAATTTACAAAGTTCTCTGCTATTCTTTCACTTAGAAATGGGGAATGATGGTTGTCCAGTGGGACATGGAACCGGGGGGGTTGCATGGGGTAGGTCCGTTCAACTCGTTGACGACCATTGACGTGTCCATCAAATGCCAAGTTTTCTCCCCTCTCACTCTGCCTGCTTTCCCGCTCTGCCACTCTGTCTCCGTATCCGTCTCCGTCGTCTGTCTGTCTGTGCCTAGGGGACTAGCGGACGGTTATTGACTTGGCAGGTAAGTGGCACAATGACTTGCAGTTTGTTGTCCACTACAATATATAACTGTGGCACGATTGTGCATGCCGTAGTGATTGCAACAACCATGCGATTCCCCCCAACTTAAAGCTGCACAAAAGCAGGGGGAAATAATGGGCATAAAAATATTCGGTTTTCTGTTCTAACTGATAATGTGTGTTACCTGAGAGTATCCTAAGCCCTACAGCTCCTACAGCTCCTACTGCTCTCTTAACTATTCTTTCACCTTCCATCAGTGACCTATTCTAGCCTTAAATTTCAAGGAATAAATTCCGTATCTGATGGAAAGTGGAGATATATCCCATAGGATATCTTTACACTTCCCAACTGCTTTTAAAGCTGCTGAAAGAAACTACTAAGCTACTAAGAAACTCTGGCCATTGGATCACTCTTTCAACGAGTAATATTAACTATAAGCTTGATGCAAACTTGTACAGTAAACTCTGGCAAGAATTTCCATCAATTACGAGACATATTTTCCAATTAAATACACTGCCCTACAACTGCAATTGTTAAATCTATGCGAATACTCGTATCCTCCCCTTAGGTAAGCTCGATTAAACTGAGCAATTTTTTTCTCTTTGTGGGGGGGTGGGGAGGTATCTGGTAACTGGTAATACTATACCCAGCTTTGGGGGCACGTGAACATGAACCCCTTCCGAACGTTTTGGCTCAAATGTTGCAGGGGGATTGATAAACGACCACTTAAGTGATTGAGTGTATGGGCTTTCCACGCAATTTTTCCCTACAAATTGCCAGTGGTTTCCATCCCCTCCCCCCTTTTACAAGGCACCACACACAGACATCAATTATGCGGTTGAGAAACTACAAAATCCTCGCCAGAGCTTTGACTGTTGAATATTTATAAAAATATATATATACACGTACACTCACACGTACATATATGTATGTGTGTTTGTATGTATGTATATGTGCTGATGGGGGGAAAGAATATCACGTAGCCAGCCAGATTTATAACACAGCCCGAATATATGATAAAGCTGCAGAAGAAAATATTTTAAAATTCCCCTTATGAATTTATAACAGCAGCAGGAGCAGCAGCAGCAGCAGCAGCAGAAACCGGAGCAGGAGCAGGAGCAGGTCCTGCGTGAATGAAATGAAAGGAAGAACAGGAGCAGAGATGGAAAATCATATGCGCACATGCGGTACATGGCACACGGATGGATGCATTTGCATAGACGGTAAGGGAGTCGATGGAGGAGTCTGGCCAGAATTTGCATAGGAAAGCGACTCGAGGAAGCTGCCACAGACACTGATACTGCTGCTGCTCCTGCTCCTGCTCCTGCTGCTGCATCTGAAAATGTGCTAAAAAGTTCGCCTTGATTGACGTTTATGCGTTGGCTAACCACAACACCAACCAGCAAGCAGATAAGGAGGGGCAGAGATAGAGAGGGAAAAACTGTGGACGTGTGGCCCTGTGGCCCTGTGGCTCTGTGGCTCTGTGGTTCTGTGGGGCTTAAGCATTTCCCAATTCTATCGTATTCACATTATTCAATGCTGGACTTACCCGTATAACCTCCGGACACGCATAGTGTGGGCTGCCGCAGGAGGTTTCCAGCATGCTGCCGGCTGGCTGCAGCGATGCCATGCCAAAGTCCGCTATCTTAATGTTGTTCTTCTCATCCAGCAGCAGATTCTCGGGCTTCAAGTCGCGGTGGCTGCAATGGGTATACCCCCCCCACCCAGAATGTCAGATTGATTGCGCTTTAAGTGGCTTGTGGATTGTTGCGGGCTTACCAAATCGAATGCGAGTGACAAAAGTCCAAGGCGGAGATGATTTGCCTGAAGAATTTGCGCGCCTCCTTGGGCGTGAGGCGGCCCTTTTTCACCAGATAGTCGAAGAGCTCACCGCCAGAGACATGCTCCAATGTTAAATACAAATACTTTTTATTCTCGTAGACATCGCTCAGGCCAAGGACGTGCGGATGATCGATTAGTTTCATTATGGCAATTTCACGTTCAACCTTGGCCGCCGCATAAACAGGATACAGGATACAGGATACACGAAAAAGAGAGGAGACGTCGAGAGTTTTTAATCGACTTATCGACAATGTAGCCATATAGCTTCAAGCCAAGTCTCCCTCCCGCTTGACCCCTGACCCCTGCCACTCTTTCGTTGTACAATGCATTCAAAGTGCTTTGGCCATAATGACCCATTGTTGTCCTCCAACTGGCGTCCGAGTTCTGTTCTCATTGCGTGTCCTGGCCTGGTCCTCGTTCTCGTTCTCGTCCTCGTCCTGGCTGTAGTCCTACATGGACAGCACACGCAATCGTCGTCGTTGGTTCTTTCTACTCATTTGCAGCCCCCCTACAACACCCCTACACCACTACACCACCCTCTCACCATGCATTTCGATTGTCCTATATGTCTGAGCTTTTGTCACCCCAAAGAGCCAGCACCCCCGCCTGAATTCCGTTTTACTTTGTTGCCACACGCACTAATTCGTCGCATGTCCTTTCAGTGTCCTACAAACAAACAAAAAGTGCAGCACATTTTTCGGGGGTGGTGATGGGTGGTGGGGGGTTGGGGGGAGCGTGCGTGACAGCCACAGAAAAGATAAACAATTGGAGCTCTACTTGGACTTTTATGGGCGTCAGAATGAATGAAATGAAATCCATTGTCGAGTTCTTGCCGCTTATTATAATAGACCTAATATATTAACGATTGTGGCACAAAATCGATTATATACGTGGGACGTATCGTACATAAATATTGTAGATTGAAAGATAATTTGCGTGGGACTTTAGTTGGAAATGGAATTTATCGATAAATGCGGATAGAACAAAGATCTATTGATAAGATCCACAGCACACAGATCATTTAGCTTTAGTATACAAGTAAATCTGATGGAAATCTACTGCCACAAAATATATGTATGTAGTAGCTTTATAAAGCGCCTTTTCAGGCGTTCAAATCTCTCAAAGAACATAATTTGTGAACAACTTGGCAGCACTGCTTAATACTTGCCCAAGTTTATGGCCAAACCACTTAAAATTAATTCAAACTAAAGGTCTTGGGGCTGCAAGTAAAATATTTCCTTGGCTTTGCACGACTTTGGCCCACTGCTCGGTAAGAAAAAACAAAGCCAAGCAAAAACCCACCAAAACCGAAAACAAATCCCCAAAAAAACATTTCACTCCCCCGCCCCCCTCCCAGAAAGAGAGCTGTGGCTGTAAAGGCTTTAAGTTAGACTGCAATGCCTTCTCTTTACACCCTAAATACAACCTCACCCACCCACACTACTTGTTCAAGGAGCGCAAGTAAATAAAATAAAACAACGAACCACAAAACAAATTTTATTGTCACAATTTTTTATGACCTGTACGCCAGGCAGAAGACAAACAACACGACAAAACGAAGCGAAAGGAAACCAAAAAACCAAGGAAAAAAAAAAAAATCATAAAGAGAGCTAAGTAATAAAAAGAAAGAAGAAAAGAAGAAAAGAAAAGAAAAGAAAGAAAGAAAGAACAAAAAAAGAAATAAAATATAAGGCAACAATCGACGGGTAAAACTTTCCATCAAGTCCTGACCTTCGACCCCGCCCCGCCGCGCCCCGCCCTGCACCCGTGCAGGCACTCACCTTCATTAGCACCGATTCGCTGAGTTTTTCGCGATTGATTATTTTAATCGCAACCTTTTTGCCAATCACACAATGCACGCCCAACTTGACGAGACCTGCGAATAAAAAAATTGTTACAGCAAAAAAAAAAAATGGGTGGGAAAGGAAATTGAATCGTAATTGTAGTAATGGCAAAGCGGATTTAGCACGGTAGATATTGGCTGTAGAGGAACTCGCTCCACAAGTACATAATATCCCACTGAGTGACAAAGATTTTAATAGAGATTTCCTATATAATAGCTCCCCTGGCGGATATCGGACACGGTTTTGGGTTGCAATCTAAGAACATTATACTGCAGTGTTGCATGGCAGTCCCAGTCACGCAAGTGCTGACCTTCCGGACAACTTACTTATATGTTCAGCACAAAGGACGACACAAGGAAACAACACTGACAGTCCTTGCTAGCAATTGAATTTCTTTACGGACAACATGGCTTTAATCGAATAATAATGCACAATACTTTACATGCCATAGAAGCATTTTATGTGGCGAATATTCTTGCGTACATCAGGAAAAGTTTTCCCTCTAAGTGAGAGCCAGCCGCACTTTCTGTAGCGCTGATTTTACATTTCCAAATAAGGGTTTATTTTATTGAGTATCTACAGTACGGGTTGGAGTACTCGTACTTGTATTCGTGTATCCACAAAATTGTGTGCTTGCACTTACCCGTTTGACCCTTGCCGAGAGTTTTCTCCAGGCGATAGGGCCCCACAAATTGGCAATTCTCCGCCGTGACATTGTTCTCCTTCTGCATTTTGCTGGCCGTGCCCGTGCCCCTCCGTGGCTGCTGTTGCTGCTGCTGCTGCTGCTCCTCCGTTGCTTTCACCGTTGCCCCGATGGTGGCTATGGCTGTGGCTGTTAGCTGTTTGCGGCTGGCAGCGTCAGCTGGCGTCTGGCCATGCACAGGACTCCTAGCACCACGGCCGGCTGCTCCGGTCCCTGTCCCGCTCCCAATGCCGATGCCGATGCCGTACGGCTTCTACGAGCAACTTGTTTGTCGCATAGCGTCAATGGAACTTGTCTGTGTGTGTCCCTGTCCCTGTGCCTGTCCCTGTCCCTGTCACAGTGCCTCTCCTCCGTAGCTGTAGCTGTATTGGTAGCTGTAGCTGTAACCGTGTGTCCCGTACGTGTGGGGTCCGTGTGAGAGGTCCTTTAATTACTTTTGTTTGGCAAAAGTTTTATTGCAATTGTTAAGGATTCCTTTTTGCAGCTTGCAAATGATGCAGCATTTAATTAACTTTTGCCTATAATTGTATTGGTCTTCGCTTCAGGGCAATAATTGTTGCTGTTCCTGATGTTGTTGCTTTCGTTGCTATTTCCACATGACTTCATCACAAACAGAAACTGCTGCAATTAGAAAAAGAGCCAGGCAGAGGCAGAGAGAGAGAGAGAGAGACAATAAGTGAGTGTGTGTTCGAGAGAGTAAGAGAGAGAGCGTAAGGTCAATGTGATTAGCATTGCATATTTATGTTCCCTTTTGGCCTGCCAAATGGAATTTTTAATTGAAATAAATGGCAACTAACTATATAACTAGATAAATAGTGAAATATATGTGTAAAAATGTAGGCATGTATGCAAGAGAGTGCATACTGTGTGTGTGTGTATGTGTGTGTGTGTGTGTGTGTGTGTGTGCTGGTTAGTCAGGTGCTCTAATTAAAAACACCTGCAGCTATGCCAGTGCATATTCTGTGCTTCTTTTGCCCATTTCAAGAGTAAATTTATGAGCCCCGCAGCTTTTCTAAGAAGAACAGACAAACATACATATATTCCTGTGTGTGTGTATATATGTTTTAGTTCTGTGGTTTCCCACAATTTCAGCTCTTTAACGTTTTTACATTTGCAATTATTTGGCCATTAAGTTTTATATAAATAATTATTAAAGGGAAAGCGCTTCGATGCGTAAAAGTGGGGATAATTACACTTGATTAAAGGAGCCTCGAGCCACAGTTTCTTACTGATTTTCAACCATCAATCAAACGCAAAACTTAATTCCACTTGAAAGTTCAAGATAACTCTTCAAGTATAAAACAGCTCAGCTCCAGCACTGAATGAATATTTTATACAAAGTTAGAAATTATCATAGAAAGAAGAGAACAGATACCCAGACCCGGACCAGACCAGACAGCGCGCCACTTCAATCTGCTGTTGGCCATTAAGAAAAGAACGAAACCATTTAAAAATGTTCATTTGGAGAGCACTAAAGCAAAAGCAAAAGCAAAAGCTCAACAGTGCGTGGGTGGGTGGCATAAAAAGGCCAGCATTAAACTTGGCCAACTACAGAATGGCCAAAAACAAAGGGCAGCCCGCAGATAGATCGACACGGAGAAGCGAGTGCACGAGGAGTGGAGAGAGGAGGGTGTAAAGGGAGGGTGCAGCAGGTAAGTAGTAAATTTAGATGCTGACGCAGATCTAGGCGGCAGCGCCCGTCGCCTGTCAGTGATTATTCTCGGAGATGACGCGCAGCATTCACAACGGGGTTCGTTCTCTGTGCGTGTGTGTGCGTGGGTGTGTGTGTCTGAGTGGGTAAAAGATGACGGCAGATGGAAGCTGACAAGCAGATGGATGCCCCTCCAGGCCGCGGCAACGCACACAAATTGAAAAATAAGTGCGCATCAAAATGAAACGGTACGCAAATGGGTAAATGTAGGGCGGGAAATGAAGGGTGCGACGAGCATTAAGGTTAAACGTGAGGCGCAGCTGACGGAAAGGAAAGATGCCAACAAGTCCACAACGGAGCACCCCTATCCCCGTATCCCTTCCCATCCCATCCTATCCCATCCCATCCCATATCACCGAAAACAATAAGAAAACTTTCGCTTGAAAGGCCAACAGCAACCCGCCGCCGCCGTCGTTCTGTTAACCTAATTTGAAAAATGCGCTAAAAGTCGAGAACTGACAATGTTTGGCAAGTGCCAACAGCAACAGCAACAGCAGCCAGCTAAGGTCAAATTTAGGGCAACGACTAGAAGATACCCCGCTACACAAAAACGAAAGAAAACGAAACTCTCTTTTTTTCCTGTTTTTATATTTTCGTAATTTGCTCTCAAATGTATGCTATGCTTTTTGCAACTCGAAAATTTCCTTTTAATTTATGGAACGAGTACGAGTGTGTGGAACATTTCATCAAAAGAAAAAAGTTATGAAATAAACCAAGTGCTCGTCTCATACATATATGCAATGGAAAATATGTAAAGGGGCGTGGGCGTGGCCGCAGCCTACAATAAACAAGTCATCGTCATGGGTCGGTCTCCAGGCGCCTTTTTGCAGCTTTTCGCACTTAAGGCTGCGGCAAAATGCCGTCACAGGGTGCCTCCCAAATACATATACATATGTCTCTGTGTGTGTGTTTGTATGTATATGTGATGCCGGTTGTGTGCGTGCAATAAAAATCATAAGCAAAGCGTTTAGAGTATTTGGCGTTGATTCTGGCCTAGGCACGGGAAATTTATGCTTTTGGGTCGTGGAAAACGGAGAAAATGTCAGCCGGGAAAGTGGCACCGGAATGGGCAAAGTGGATCGGAGGAAGCGGAAGGCTATTGATGTAGGCCCTGGGCCCTGGGCCCGGTGCCTGAGCCTAGGCCTAGGCCTGTGGGATGTGACCGAACGGCTTTTATGGCCCGATGCCGATGCCCCAATAAAATGCCATCAACAATAATTAAGCGATTTGCAAACAATGCGCGCGGCCATATAAAGGGCATGAAAAGTGCTCGGAAAGATCGAAGAAGGAAAAGATGCCCCCGCAAGAAATTTGCGGGCAAAGAGCTTGAATATTCGGGACAGGCTACAGCAACTTTCTTCTCTCTATTACATAAAGCTAGCCACAAACATTTTCTTTCTTTTACTTTTTAAAGAGCGAAGATAACCCCCAAAGTTTACCCTCTTACACATCGCGTATCATAGCTGCCCCCCCCCCCTCCAAATAAATCTCCATTAACATATGAATTAACAATCCAAATTGGGGCGAAGTAATTAGGCTGCCTTTCCTTTTCCTTTGCTTCTCTCACTTTCGCTCATCATTCATATTCGCGGCAGCTGAAAAACTCAATCGCACCCCAGCTGGCAATTAAGAATCCCCCCAGGCACATTCGCCTACGCATACGCAACAGAGTTCTTCTAGTTTCCCTCCCGAAAATTTACATCTCTTTAATGTTCACTCAAGGATATCCAAAAACAATTAACCATTCCGTGAACTCCGTGCGCAGTGTTCATTAGCCCTCTCGCACAATTAACCTCGAGGGCACAAGCCCAAGCCCAAGCACAAGCACATCCCAGCAAAATGAGGAAAACTCCGCCCGCCTTGGCCAATGTGTTATCTAACCAACAACAAAAAATTGAGCAAAAGGACTTTGATTTCTCAGGCGAGTCTCCGCACCACCTGCACCCTTCTGCACATTTACATTTACATACTCGTACATCTGGTCTGGGCAAAACCTTGAGGGCTAAATTGGCTTTGCAGCAGCACCAAGCTGGAGAGCAGCTGCCTGGAGAGAACCCAAAGTTTAAGCAAGTTTTTTGGGGAGGTTAAGGTTTTCGGGGCAATCTAAAAGCCAGAAAAACTCAATTTCATTTCCAAAACGACACTCAATAAACACACCCAACCCAACCCATACCCATACCCCAAACCCCAAACCCCAAAGCAAAAAAGAACTGAAACGAATGGGAAAGATTCTGTGGACGCTGTGGAGCAACGTGGCGTATGAGTGTTTCGGTTTGTTGCCCATGGAAGCGCCCTCCAACCGGAGTGGCGTTTTTAAAGTGCAATCAATAAAATGCTTTTGAGTTGTGAAAATTATGCGTAAGTGGCTTTTCATCAGGCCTCAGCTTCAGCCTCAGCCTCAGCCCCAGCTCCAAGCCCCCATAATGGCAGTCGAGGCAATAGAGACAGGCAACAGACAACCCAAAAGGGGAACAGCAAAAGGGCGTTGCTGCCAAGAGAGGCGCTTACAAGACTAAATGACTAAAAGGCACAGTGGAAGGAAAAGGGGTAATTCTTGTCCAAAACCAAAATGGAATTTAAATGGACAAATATGAGAAATATCCGAATTTGCAGGAATTTTCAATATTTTCAGGCATTGTGAATACTTAGAGGAACGGATTGTTCCCACCAATCTCTGGTATCTATAACTATTTGCCACTTTCTGACACCATTGTGCCACTTGCAACGACTCGTACTTCTGGATTGCCTGCTCCAAGGCAATTCCTTGTCGAGAGCTGTTGTTAAATCCTCTGATTGTCCCTGTTTCTGTTGCTGTGGCTGTTGCTGTCGCTGTTGCTGTGTCTGTTGACGATGTTGCTCCCACGATGTACACGATGCTCAATCAGAATCAGACAGCGTCAGGCAGCTGGCAGCAGGCTGCCGGCAGCCGGATGCAGGATGCAGTGGCACAGAGGCGTACGCCAGCAACAGCTGCCTCAATATTCATCAACTAATTGCAATTATGTGGAAAATTAAAATCAATATTTAACTAACATTCTGCTGTGCTCGGCTGCTTGGCTCCCTGCTGTGCTCTCCATGCTGTGCAGCTCCTCGCTCCCTCGCCACTGTTTCCCTCTGGCTGCCATTGTCATTTGCCATTTAACATTGATTTCAATTTGATTTGAGTTCATTTTGTACGAGTATTGTGTCAGCTGCAGTGGCAGTGGCACATTCATTTTGTGTGTGCTGCTGATTGCTTTTGGGGTTGAATAATTTTAATGTTTAAGCTGCCATTTCATGTGAAGCAATTTAAAATAATAATTAGTAAAGAAAAATTTCTGTACTGCTCTCTAAACGCTCTTCTCTATCAGAAGTCCTTCAATAAGGTATTCCCAATTAATTATCAAGTGGGAAAATCAATCAGCATATTAATTGGATCTAGCACTTCAGCATAAATAGCGGCCAAACATAGTAAAATTAAACACCTCCAAAACAGCCTTCAAAAATGCCAAAACAAAGAAAACTTTTAGAGCTGTCAACACATTAAACTGCTGGGCAGAAAACCAAATCAAACAGACAGACACGGAGAGCCAGCAGGATATGCCAGCAGCAGGACTCAGTAAAACCCACTGGGGACCGGGGACCCTAC